GGACCCACAGTGGGGTCAATGGGGTCAAACGACCCTATGGACTCCATGAACGTAAGGTAGAAGGTCCCTTTGAACCTGTGTGTGACCCCATGAATGGCTGAAGGAGGAGCTGCAAATCTGAGGAAGAAGAAGATGAACAGGGGAGCTGCAAGTTGTTTTTTTTTTTTTCAAAACCGCTGGATCCAAAACGGCGTCGTTTTGAACCCAGCGAATTTTTTTTTTAATGCGCTGGCACCAAAACGGCGTCGTTTTGGACCAGCAGCTCCGAATTTTTTTTAAAAGACCTGGCCAAAACGACGTCTTTTTGGTCCAGGCCTTTGAAAAAAATAAATAAAACAGATTGTAGTGATAACAGACCCTTTGATTACATAAAATTTCTTTAAACGACCTAACAAGGAGTGAAAACCAAAGCCTAAGGGATCTACCTGTTGAAAATTACCACCACCATTGCCAGCCAAGTAGCAATCTACCTACTTGAAATAAATAATTGATCAATAACAACTCCTAAGATGCACTACCAAGTACCAACCAAATACCTCCTCCTGCTAAGCTGCTTTCATGTTCTTGTTATAATCCCGTTGCTTACTTATAACTTGCTCAACCAATCTTCGCTCTTGAGTTAAGGACAAGTAGAAAATTTCTTCAAAATCTTCTGAAGTTCATTACTTTAGTTCTAGGGCTTTGATTGATGTACCGTTTTCGCCTACATGATCAGTGAACCGTTTTCGTCATCATTATCGTGTGAAGTTCTTTATTTATGTCATTAATGAGCAACTTACGGAGTTAGATGCTCGTTTTAATGGGGTAAACACTGAGTTGCTTATTTGTTTGGCATGTTTTTGATTGTATTGAAAATGAAGCTATAATGCTACGTTTTTAAAATATGAAACCTCGTCGTGGCCAATTGTAATTTGTAATGTTGTTTTTAACATGAATTATGAATGAATGTACTATTGTTTCATTTTCAATGTTATTTTAATCTTTAAAAAAAAATTTGAATTTTTACACTATGACCCTACGAGTTCATATTCCTGGGTCCGTCCCTGAATTAGAGCACTTCCACATGTGTGGACTGCCCTGGCAAAAGGCCCCCCATGTGAGGAAAACCAACTCCAGTGGTAGATAATAGTCCGGGCAAATGGTACGCTTCACCAAGACTAAGCAGACTTGAAGGCAATAATAGCCCAAGCTGTTGCCTGAGGGAGCTGACGTCAATGAAGAAAAAAAAGGAAAAAATTATGAAAAAATACCAAAAAATTCAGAATTTTTTATAAATACCAAATGGCAGCAGATTTGCACAAGAATTGAAGTATAATTGCTTAACATTTATTTTTTATTTTTTATAAATGGTGGCTCATACAAGTTGGGATCTTGAATTAGACCACATTTTGATATTCCAGCCTCTCAGAATAAATTCTTGTGGGTCTTTTCCCTATAAGATATCTGCAGATACAGTCATATATATGAACTACAAAAGATTGGCATGGTGTGGAGTTGGAAAATGAACAATTATGAAATTGGTGAAGCATGTTTAGGATCTTGCCACACAAAATTTTACAATTATTGAAACAAAAAGAAAATAAGAAATGAACGTAAGAATACATGTGACAACATAGAAAGACACACAGTTATACTCTATTGCTACTCCTCAGTTCTTATCCCTTGTCAATTTCTTCCTAGAAGTAAGGTGGAAAGCTATAACTTTCAATTGATTAAAATACAATTATCATAATGATGACTACTTTCTTGTTAAATTCATGTCTACTGAACCAAAAGAAATTAAGAATATACATTAAATGAGGTGTTGTAATATCAGGTTTGGTTAATTATATATTAAACACAAATTTGTCTCATAACAGAGTAGATTAGATTCATGTGGCAGAGATGATAAAAATATATTAGGTATGTGTACTTTGTAAGTAAAGGAAGAGGACTTTCTGTTTGCTTTTCTTTTGTTTGTCTTGCCAGAGTCCAGATCTTCTATCCCCATTTTATCTGTTTCCTTATCTAACTTTTTGACACATGTCCTTCCTGTGTATTCAGACGGTTCGAAGACATTCAAAAAGAGATCAATGAAGGGGTTAGCATTAATTGGGATGAGATTTGGGGGTTGTCGTGGCTGGCTCATTCTCGAAACTATTGGCAACCACGAAACGGTCTCTGCGCTCTGGAGGACCAGCAAGAGTTGTATAAGGAACCATTAATCTTGCTGTGCGTTGTGAAATATTGTTGAAATGGTTTTTGTTTGCTTTGAGAACTGAGATGACTCTTGCCATATTTTCACTGCCTTCCCGGTTTCCATTTGGGCGGCCCCTTTCTCTATCTCTATGTCTCACCTTTTCTATCTCTCGTTCTTTCTCATCTTTGAAAATGGGAGTTTTGGTGGCTGTTGGGTCTTTTGGTTTTCTTCAATTATTAATTTTTATTATTTGTAATTTTATTAAAATTTAACACTGTTATGTTAAAGTTAAGTGAAAGGACATGTGTCAAAAAATTAGATAAGGAACAAGGAAGGGAGAGACAAAATGGGGACATGAGATTTTAACTCGTGAGTCACACATTTGGGCCCAGTCATCAAGTTAACAAATTTTTTAATGGAAGTTGATGGCATGTGAACTAGTTGTGAGCATCCATTTTAATTTGAAGGACCACGAATGAAGAAGAAAAAAAATTATAACGAACACAACTTGATAGTTTCGAAACTTCATATTTTGTGATTAAAAGTCTTTAATAACCTTTTACACCGAAAGTAAGCGGAAACTATTTCTCATTTACGTTGATTTCAGATTCATGCGATGTGCGCGTTAAATGCAACATGAACCTTCTTTGCAAATATGATTGATATCGATATATATGTATATCATATAAATATTTAAACCTAGGCTTTGTCTTAGTATGCATTTTTTTTTGTGCTTTCAAACACACACACACACACACATATATATATATGCTTGTTTGAGGACACCTTTATGATACAGTTTGTATTGTGTTTCTCCGAACTTTTGACCACTCAATGAAATGTTTTCATTTTAGTGTTATTTTGGATCACCATATTCATTTATTTTGGTTATAATTAGATGTCATAATACTTTTCAATTTGTCTAATTTTTCGCAAAAATTATCTATGTTTAAAGACTTAAAAAACAGATGACTTGGAATTGTTGAAATAAAATTTCTGGTGGATCCCATAAGTTATTTTCTGAACTTAATTGATAAAATACTCTTACGCGTCGGTCCAGCTAAAAGGTAGACCGAAGGTAGTGGGAAACTTTCACCAAGAAGGTAGTAGGCAGGAAACTTTGTCGTATTACTTGGGTTGAAATTCAGGCACGTTGAAGGTAGCAGGAAACTGCTTCTCAACTCAAGTATCTATGGTGCCCAGCAAGAGGCCGCCTATATACATAAATTGAGAAAATCTTTGACATGACACCCCATCAAACATTATGGCTTTAATCACCAGTGAATCAGTATCCTCTTCCTCTGCCTCTTCTTCTTCCACCAATTCTTGGACAAATGATGTCTTTATCAGTTATAGAGCTGCAGATACACGCTACAATTTTACAGACCACTTGTACAGCAATTTGCAACAGAAGGGAATTAAAACCTTCATGGATACTGACTATAAGAGAGGGGAAAAAATGGCCCCAGCACTTTGGAACGAAATTGATGGGTCGAAGATTTCTATCATCGTATTCTCCGAAAACTTTGGATCCTCGTCCTGGTGCTTGGATGAACTCGTCAAGATCCTTGATTGTCAAAGGTCAAGAGGCCAGATGGTTATGCCAATTTTTTACAAAGTGAAACCCTCGCATGTGAGAAAGCAATTGGGCACTTTTGGTGAAGCATTTGTCGACCATGAACGCATATTCATTGAAAAAAAAAATGACATGAGGAAGTTGCTGACATGGAGGGCAGCTCTTACGGAAGCAGCAAATTTGCACGGGTGGATTTTGAAGGATGGGTACATTTCTAACCACTTAATTACTATAGCTATATTTGAGGCCGGTTATCATATTTTTTACTTTTTTTTTTATAAGCCTTAATCTTATGTCATGTTGATGTCTTTGATTGTATTTATCTAATAAAGTTTCTCTTTAATAAAAAAGAAAATAATAAGGTTAACCTATACTTCCGTAAGAAAAAGCAAAATTCAAAATTAATGCGTATTGTTTTGTTTGCCTGTGTGTTTATGTTGTTTGCCTTTTTTTTTTAAGGACATTTCCTGTTTAGAGAGGCTATATTATCAGGGGCGGAACAAGCCTATGGGCTGTAGCCTAGGGAAGGTTTTGGGGAAAAAAAATAATTAAACATATATAGCCTAATATTTTGAACTAAAAATAAATAAAATACATATATAATTGCATATCCTACCACACCAATAGGCCTAGTCAAAGATCTTCCACATTTGTATTTGGTCTCAAAGTTTGTCCCAAACATCAATTTTAATCCTTTTCCATTAATGTATCTCCAAAAGAGAAGGATTTTTCTAAATAAAATTCACCATTTCGTGAATAATATGGCTCTAATTCCTTCTTTTTTTTCTTGTGTTTATAACTAGCATGATTTATATGATTTAATGTATACTTTTATTTATATAAAAACTACAGAAACTGTTAGTGCCAAAAAAAAAAAAAAATTATCATTAGATTTTAAGCTAATAACTTTAGCTAGCTCACCAATAGAAAAATTCTTGATTCCACCCTTGGATAATATACTAAACTCACACACACTACGTAGATGCTAGGACTCGAAACCAAGACCTTGCATGGGGGAGCACTTACTTCAAACCACTACATTAATAGGTCTTTTGCATGTTGTTGGCTCTTTTAAATATACATATAAATTAAATTCCATTTATTTTCATGTTTTTTAAAATATTTTATTATGACAGGAGCGAGTCCAAATTTATCAATGACATCGTTGAAGAGATTTCATTGCAAGTATTAAATCGTACATATTTGCATGTGGCAAAGTACCCAGTTGGTATAGTCTCGTTTGCAAGATATGGGTGAGCTTTTAGGTGTTGGGGTAAATGATGTTCGCATGGTAGGTATATGGGGGATTAGGGGAATAGGTAAGACAACAATTGCCAAAGCAGTTTATAATTCAATTGCCCATCAGTTTGAAGGCAGTTGTTTTCTGGAAAATGTTAGAGAAAACTCAGCGGCACCTAGAGGCCTGCTCCAACTACAGAAGACTATTCTTTATGAGATTCTAGGGGGAAAAGAATTGGAGGTGACAAGCGTTGATAAAGGTATCAATGTAATAAAGCAAAGGTTGAGTCATAAAAAGGTTCTCTTAATGTTTGATGATGTGGATCAATTGGACCAATTAAACAAATTAGTTGGAAGGTCTGATTGGCTTGGTTTGGGTAGTAGAATTATCATAACAACAAGACATAAGCATTTGCTAACGTCTCATCAAGTTGACTTAATGTATGAGGTCAAGGAACTAGATACTTATGAAGCTTCTGAGCTCTTCAGCTATCATGCCTTCCCGGAAAAAGGACTTCCAGATGATTATAAGAACCTTGCAGTAAGTCTAGTAGATTATGCTAAGGGGATCCCATTAGCTCTCACGGTTACTGGTTCGCTTCTATGTGGTAGAAGTGTAGATGAGTGGCAAGCTGTATTGGATTGTTACAGAAGAGCTCCTGCCCTGGATACTGATGAAATCCTCAAAATAACCAAATATGCTCTAGAACATCCGGAAGTATCCATGGAAACTGCCCCCGTGAGGATTGAAGAAGAACATGTTCAAATGCATGACTTGCAAGAAGAAATGCATATAGAAACTGCTCGACAGGATGTTCGTGAGGATGTTAACATTGTAAGTAGAATATATATATACAAATGCATATATGTTGCCAAGAAACAAATGAGTTTGCCTTGCAGTCACCTGAAAGCACTTTCATTTTATTTGATAAGGAACTTGAATTTGTTAATAGCTTAGTGGCTAGCTTTTTCATACCAGGGAACAATTGGAATTCAACGCCAAGAAAGTTTGCCTGAGCAACCAGATGAGATACGGTCTAGTGCTAAAAGCTTCGTAAGTAAGGTGCAAACTCTACAACTTTCTAAGCACCTCTCGATCAGTTGCTTATAATTTTTTCTTGCAAGATATATCTCTTAGACTTTAATTGAACTACTAATTTCTCTTGTAGGTATTTTCAGCGGAGTGGATGTTTTTAATCGTTAGCCTGATGCTAGAGATCTTTTCAGCTATATGTGATCAGCTTTCCTCCCCAAGAAAGCCCCTCTATGCACTCTTTGGTATGGGGCTGGCTATTATGGCTCTAGCCACTTGCATCTGGGAATTCATTCACAAAGGCAGAAGAGGAAATGTTCAATTTGGCAAGTGCGGAATATTGCTGTGGTGGTTTTATTGTCCAAGTTCAGGCACCCTTTTTGGTACTTTCCCTGAGATTTGTGGATTAATTTATGCAATCACTCAGTGGGCTTCCTCCATGGTTCAGTTTGTGTGCGTGCTTCGGCATAAGGACAATCCTTTCAAAGTAAACATTTTGCCTGCCCTTTTTCTACTGTGTTTGGTTGTTTCAAAATTAATTCGGAATGCAAGGGGCAGAACAAGAGAGGAGACCAGTGAGATGGAATTGGAATCCATTGCTGTTGACTCTTGAGCTAGACTACGAACTTGTAATGTCTTTGTAACTTTGCAGCTTAGAAGATTGCTTTTGTCATGCCCAGCAAAATTTTGACATGCATGCAGTTTAGCCAAAAAATAAAATATATACGACTCAAAATTGTGAAATTGATGTTTTCCCAGCAAATATAACTCAAGGCGCTACTAATTTAGCTCTGCAAATATGCTCATATTCTATTACAATGACAAATCTTAAGATGAAATTGAAATTTCAAAACACACCCAAGCCTAAGCCCAACCTAGTCCTGATTTACGAAAGAAACCACCTTTTTGACCATGTCCACAGCCTTGTCACAACTTGGGTCGAACAAATGGAACACATGGTCCTCCCCTTCACTCTTCACAATCTAAACCACCCCACTCCACCCACTCTCTTTCAATGCCTCATAGTAAGCCCAAGCCATGTCCCTCAAAAAACCTTCTCAGCCACAAAAACCAACACCCTCCCACACCCAATGTCACCCAATTTCGGATCCTTGTCTGGGTTCACTCTCTGGTTGTTCAGCCCACAACACGCTGGAAAAATTACCTCAGCTTATTGGGCTATTCAGTCCTAAAATACAGGTGAAACAAAACCATCTCAACTAACTTCGCCCATCCCGCACCATCGAGTCCAACCCGATTCATCACGTGGTGCATAAGGGTCGCCCCGACACTGTCCACGCCCACGAAAACACGGTCAAAGTCAACATAGTCGTTGAGCCAAGCCTCGGGTCCATTACAATTCGCATGGGCTGCGGCCCATTGGAGTGCTTCCCATGAGTCTTCATATGCAACAGGGATTGGCTGCTCAGGGGCTCGCCTATGGTGCACAGACAAAATACGATGTTTGCTTCGGATGTTAGCAAAGCGGCGTGGTTGTGGTAGGGAGGAGAGTAGGGGGACTCGATGACGAAAGCGCCGCCGTGGATGAAAAGAAGGAGGGGGAGCTTTCGGGTCGGGTCGGGGAGTTTGGGGAGGAAGATGAGGGCGGAGAGTCCGGTTTCGAGCGAGAGGACGATGTCTTTGGATCGGACCCGATTTCGAGGTCGGTGGAGGGCTGGACGGTTTCGGTGCCTTTAAGTCTTTCGACGCGGCCGTCTTTGTAGATTCGGAAGAGGGTCGGGAACTCGAATGAGATATCGGGTGAGGAGGCATTTGTGTCCATCGGAGATGAGAAATAAGAATTGTTGTGTAAAACGCTCTAAAACTGAAAGACGACTTGTGATTTTTATTTTGGGGTTTTATGAAAGAGAATTATTGCGGATTAAATGCTTTGATATTTTATAAAATTAACCAACCATTTCTTGGCAGCTGAAACCAACCCTAATCTGTTTTGCAACTACCACACATGAAAAACCCTTCACACGTGTATACGCATATATGTGTAGTTTGTTCATAGTTTTAGAAGCGAAGCAAAGTTAATACGTATTATGCTTTAATTATATATATAAACACACACATATACATATGTAAGTCAATACTATGTTTATAAGTAATACCCCATTAGAAACCTCATACTATAACTAATTAACGATGAATAGCAAACCAAATAAATCCCTGAGCTCTGAAGCACCATAGATTAGCACTATCAGGGTCATCAACAACACCGAATTTGAAATTTTGTCTTTGCACAACGCTATCTCATCCATCTGTTAAAGCATATCCAGTAAGAATTCTAAAACTTAACTAAACTCAACTCAGTCGTACGATTCGGCTCTTCTAGCATAATCTCAAACAAAACCCACAAAACCCAAAATAGCCCAAATTTCATGGGCCTAAATGAACACTACCGCCACCAATTGAAGAAGCGTCGCCGTCAAAACCATTACCGCATTTGGCCTAAATGGGCAGTGATGCTTCTTCCTCCTCCCTCCTATTGAGTTTTTTCTTTGAAACTGGGAGAGAGTACGGCTAGAGTTTTTTGGGGGTTTTATTTGGAAACATGACTTACAGGACTTGAATCTAAGCTATAGTATAAGTTTCATTCAGATTGATTGAATTAATTCCCTGATAAGATTGTTGACTACAGGACAAACGTAGAGATCAAAACTCATTTATATAACCAAACGAACAATTCTTTTGCACATTTCTTGCTGGATATCTTCAAATTTTAATTGAATATTTCACCAATTTCTTCTGTAGGCTACCACCAATACTTGGAAGTATGATGTCTTTCTCAGTTCTAGACGTGCGGATACATACTACAGTTTTACAAACCGCTTGTGCAGCAATTTGCAACAGATGGAAATTGAAACCTTGATGGATAATGACCTTAGAACAGGGGATGAAACATCACCAATGTTTCTCAAGGAAATTGAAAAGTCAAAGATTTCTATCATTATATTCTCTGACAACTATGCATCTTCACCGTGGTGCTTAGATGAACTCGTTAGGATCCTTGAATGTAAAAGAACTCAACAACAAATTGTTTTGCCAATTTTTTACAAAGTGGACCCCTCAGATGTCAGAAAGCAAACTGGCACTTTTGGTGAGGCATTATTTAACCATGAACGCAAGTTCAATGATGATACAGAGAAGGTATTGAGATGGAGGGCAGCTCTTAGGGAAGCAGTTGTTTTGCCTGGGTATCTCTTCGACCACGGGTATTTTTCTAACCACATTTAGTCATTTGATGGTTATCTTGTTTTTTTTTTTTTTTTTTTTTTTTTTTTTGGGGAGCAAGGGTTATCTTCTTTTTATGTTCAATCATGACTCATATTATAACGTGAAAGTTATACCAAGCTACCGTTTTTACAGTACCACACAATATTTACTCAAAGTAAAAGTGGCTTGTTAATCTAGCAAATCCTCTGTTTTCTTTTTTGCTGGGTTTATTGTTCTTTGCCTTATCTAAACATATACGGCAAACTTCGAATTGACTGACCAGTTATGAATATGTTTGGCAGGCATGTATCCCAATTGATTCATCGCGTGTCTGAACATATTTCACAATTATTAAACCGTAATTATTTGAAATATGAGTTCAACTATCCAATTGAAATAGAGTGTCGCGTACAAGATATGCACGATCTTTTAGGCATTGGAGACCCTGATGTTCGCATGGTAGGTATATTGGGTGATGGTGGAATGGGTAAGACAACAATTGCTAAAGCTGTATATAATTCAGTGGCCCATAAGTTTGAAGCTTGCTGCTTTTTGGAAAATGTTAGAGAGAATTCAAAGACATCGGAAGGCCTGCTCCAACTACAACATAATCTTCTTAGAACCATTCTAGGAGACATAAGATTGGGGTGAACAGTATTGTTGGAAGAATCCAAGTGATGAAGAACATGATGCGCCGAAAGAGGGTTCTCGTAGTGCTTGATGATGTGAGTCGAAAGAACCAATTAGAAAAATTAGTCGGAGAATTTAATTGGTTTGCTTCTGGCAGTAGAATTATCGTAACAACAAGATTTGAGCATGTACTCGATAATTATCGAGTAGACCTAGCATACAAGGTCAAGAAATTAGAGTTTGATGAAGCTTTGGAGGTCTTCAGTTCTAATGCCTTCCCAAGCAGTAGGCTTCCGGATGATCCTGATTACGAAAAACTCGCAACTAGGCTCGAGGACGTCCATTAGCTCTTACATTACAGCTATGGGTTCACTTGTATGTGGGAAAAGTATAGCTCAATGGCAATCTATATTAAACAGTTGCAGAACAGCTTCTGCCTCAACTATCCATGAAGTCCTGGAAATAACCAAAAAAGCTCTAGAACAACCGGTGCAAGTAGTCACAGATAATGAAGAAGAAAAATATGCTTGGATGTATGACTTAAAGAACGAAATGGATAAAGATGTAGTTTTCACCTTTTTATTGCCAATTCCCTCGTTACCGTCTAAATCAACAACAACCCCCCCTGCGGACCCACCCAGGACTCCCCCCCTGCGGTTTTCTTCTCCTATTCTCCGTGACCACCACCCTTCACTTCTCCCCCCGATTCCCCCATGACCACCACCAGCAAGCTCCAACCCCCAAACGAACCCATAACCCACATAGCCATCCCACTCCCTCATCACAGAAACACTCCCCCACCCAATCTCCCCTCCCCACCCCCCAAAAAAATGAACACAGAACCCACGGATTGCTTCTTCCTCAATATCTCCGACGCATACTTGTAGGCTCCTCAAGCAATACCCATGTCCATCAGTTTCTAAAGCACCATTTCCAATGTTGTAATCACCCAACTCAAGAATTTTAAGGAAATCAATTTCTGATTAAACCCATTCTAAGCAATCAAAACCCTACTCGTAAAAAATGTGTCCAGAACACCATGAATAATCAATTTCATTTAAACAATGAAACCTAACTTTAGTAATATACCACCTCATCTATCAACTAAACTGTTTCAATCTTGAAATGTGTTGGATGGCCTAGTAAATGTAAGGAACAAGACAAATAACAACAGATTTTTAAGTTCACCAAAACTAGCTCAATAAGCTAAGCAGCAGACAAATCAAATGCATATCACCAGATTTCTTCTCCCCTGCCCCTCACCAACAGACCTTCCTCACCTTCCACCGCCGTCGCCTCCCTTTTCTCCCTTCTCTTCCTCTCTCTCCCCGATTCGAGCTTTCCTCCCCTCTGTTTTTTGAATTACAACAAAAGGGAAGGCAGAGATGAAGTGGGTGGGCCTCTGTTTATTAAAAATGATTTTTTCTTTTATTTTATATTTTATATTTTTTAAATAAATAAAATAACCAATTTACCCTCATATTTAATGACAAATTGATGAAATGTGTTGAGCTTGAGACTTTTTATTTTAGGGGTAAAATAGGGATTTTAAAACTTGTTGGGTCGGGGTCGAGGAAAAGTGTTGGGCCCAAATAGAAGCACCCATCGTTTAATTCAAATAATTCATGAACTCCAGGTCTTTGATCTAGTTTGTTAATGTCCATTGTCAATCCTTGCAAGTGTTGAATCTAATCATGAATCACCAGTGTTTGAGACCCACACATTTATTTTCCTTTGCATTCTTAATTTATGTTTTCTTTTTTATTCTTAAGATTGGACAATTTTACATAACACTCGAAACCTTTTGCACTCTAACATTTGAATTATAAGAACTAAACTAAACTAAACTAATCGTGTTTATATTGTTTACTCTATCGACGGTTTGAACAGTATTGGTTTGCCTTGAATATGTCTTTTCAATGGTCATGATTTTTTGTAATCTTATTCATGTATTTTACGGTGGATTAGAGTCTATAATATGAGAGTGCGCTAGAGTATGCTTATGCTTGAGCATGATTCTAAAGGATTTATTAGATGACCCAATAGCTGAGCAATTAATATTTAGAAATGAATTTGGAAATGACCGTCCCATGGGTGGTATCATAATCCCCTTTTCTTATACTTGAAAACCTTATCCATCTTTGTCTTATGCTTTTCATTATCTTCTTGTAGCTCTGTTATATAGTGAATCACCAAATGGCAGCAGATTTGTACAAGAATTGAAGTATAATTGCTTAATATATAAATTTTATTTTTTAAATATTTTTTTATGAGCAGTTATGAGGGGAGTGTCGGTGGAGGTGTAGGGGGAGAAGGAGAAGAGAACATGTTTAAAGTGTGGGATGTACCAGATGTAGACTGGGCCCTACCGGATGCTAGATTTTAGCTTACCGGATGTTTAAAATTTGCATCGGATGCTTTCACATGGTTTGAATTATTTCACACAGCGGTACGCTGTATAATCTGCAGGTACGGGGCTTCGTTTCCTCTTTTTTGACCATCACAACATTTTCTCTTTTTTTTTTTTTTTTAATTACACTCTCCACTGAAATTTTCATGCGAATTTGTGTTGTGTTAATGGATCGTATACAATATTGCTAGGTTTACTAAGAAGATACTTTAGCTTGGGCCTTACCGGATGCTAGATAGATTTTAGCTTACAGGATAATTAAATAAGGTGTTCTAATATCAAGTTTGGCTGGAATTGGTGTTTTCGTTTTTTAGTGTTTATTAAATAAGGTGTTCTAATATCAAGTTTGGTTAATTATATATTAAACACAAATTATTTGTCTCATAAGAGAGAGACAGTAGAGTAGATTAGATTAATGTGGCAAATGAAGATGATAAAAATATACTAAGTATGTGTACTTTTTAATTTCAGCAATACTGTCCTTAATTTACTCTCTCCAGTGCAGGTAGGCTCACATGGCCGGCTTTGTTTCCTCTTTTCTCTTTTTATCACAAAAAGTAATGGTTCTTTGGTTTGTTGCCAATTTTCAACGCGGTATAATTATTTCACACGGCGAGGTATAATTATTTCAACAATGCTGTCCTTAATTTACCCTCTCCACTGCAGGAAGTAGGAAACTACGACTAAGCAAGAGGCCGCCATGAGAAAGTTGATTAGTAGCCTTTATAAAGAGTTCCCAACTCTTGACAGAGTTTTTCACATTTGCTTCGATTTTATCATCAGTCGAGAGCAACTGTGAGGTTAAGCAAGAGGCGCATCCAATTATCAAACTACATGGAGTACAATATCACCACTGAACCAGCAGCCTCTTCCTCTTCTCCTTCCACCCATCAATGGAAATATGACGTCTTTCTTAGTTTTAGAGGTGCGGATACACGCGTCAGCATTGTAGACCTTTTGTACAGCAGCTTGCTCAACTGGGGAATTGACACCTTCTGGGATGAAGATCAACTCAAAAGAGAAGGAGATATACCAAGAGAGATTTTTGAAGCAATTGAAAAGTCAAGGATTTCTGTCGTCATATTCTCTAAAAACTATGCCTCCTCAACTTGGTGCTTGGACGAGCTTGCTAAGATCATTGAATGTAAGAATTCACAGCAGCAAATTGTTCTGCCGATTTTTTACGACGTGAATCCCTCAGATGTAAGAAAGCAAACGGGCACTTTTGGTGAAGCATTTGTTGAACATGAAGTCAGATTCAAGGATGATTTGGGGAAGGTGTCGCGATGGAAGGCGGCTCTTACGGAAGCAACAAAGTCGTTTGTTGATGAAATTAAGGATTTTCCACTTTTTCCCAATGATTTTCTGGAAGCACCAGGGTTGGCTGGGATGGTTGTAAAAGATGGGTATTTTTCTAACCACTTATTGGCTATATATATATATATATATTTGAGGATTTTTCTACTTTTTATGTTGTTTTTAACATAATCTATTGATAAATTTAAATGAAAATACTTCTCTCCTAATCAGGACCGTTGTTTTTATGTTGTCTTTCATCCACACGATATAATAAACCTTAAAATTTGAAAATAAACAATTAAAAATCGCTCATTGATATTTCATTATTGAAGTTTTAGACAGAACGTGACAAAATCACCGCACAACATTTAGATGTATTAGATCTGGGATGTTTGGGTGGTCACTATTATATTTTTAGGGTAATTTTTACTTTATTACGGTAAAGTTTATCAATTTTTAGAGTTCTATGCATCAATTTTTTTTTGTTTTAGTCGCATACACAAACTTAATTTTTTTTACCACTTTCATATATACCGTCAATCTTTCTGTTAATAAGTCTATTAACTGCTGATGTGGCAATATCCCCACTCCAAATTCTCTGCACCCCAGGCCAAGCCCCATGGTTGCCAACACCATACTTCTCTCTTACCCTGTCTCTCTTCAACAGTGGCTATTGACGAAGATGGGTCTAGGTCGGAGGAGATGGTTTCCACAGTGATGCTCCCTAGTTGACTGGAGAAAGAGAGATAGGGATAAAATGAATTTGTGTATCTTCAAAAAATGAAAACGTTGAAATTGAAAACAACATTTTATCGTTTTCAACTTTTGTTCACAAAATTGGATTTGTTTTCAGAAAACATTTTGAGGGAAAACGAAAACGATCCACTGAACGTGTATTTGCCGGAAAACAAGAAACATAAACGGAAAACCAGCTCAAAAACATTACCAAATGGGCCATAACAGTTTGTTCCCTATCTTTCTTTGTTTTTTTTGTTTTTTTGGGGGTCCCAATCTTTCAAAAGTTGGCAAAAATCAACCAATGCCATATGGACAAACTAATAACAACTTTTTAGAGAAAAACGTAACCTTCTAGATATAGGTAGGTCATCTTTTTAATCGAGTAAATCTTCCATTTTTTGTGGGATTATATGTTCTTTGTCTTATTTAAACATTTATATAGCAAAATTCGATTTCATGTATTGATTAAGATGTTTTTAAATTGGCAGGTATGATGGATACAAATTTATTAATGCAATCATTGAAAAGATTTTACGACAATTAAAGCGTACCTATTTGGCATATGAGACTGACTATCTAGTTGGAATAGACTCTCGCCTGCGAGAAGTGAATGATCTTTTAGGTGTTGGAGTAGATGCTGTTCGCATGGTAGGTATATCGGGGATTCGTGGAATGGGTAAGACAATACTTGCTAAAGCTATTTATAATCAAGTTGCCCATAAGTTTAAAGCTTCCTGCTTTTTGGGAAATGTTAGAGAAAATTCCAAGGGACCAGGAGGCTTAGTCGATGTACAAAAGAGTCTTCTTTATGACATTCCCGGGCTGAATGTACCGAGAGTCACAAATGTTGATTCAGGAGTCAATATCATTAAGAGTAGGTTGCACGGCCAAAAGATTCTCCTAATTATTGATGATGTGGATCAATTGGACCAGTTAAAATACTTAGCTGGAAGCTCTGATTGGTTTGGTGCCGGCAGTAGAATTATCATAACAACAAGGGATGAAGATTTGCTTCATGCTCATGGAGTTCCGTTCACGTACCAAGTGAAGAAGGTACAATCTGATGAAGCTTTGGAACTCTTCAGTTCTAATGCCTTCCGAACAAGTAGAGTTCCGGATGATTATCAAGAACTCGCACGTAGATTCGTAGACTATGCTCAAGGGAATCCATTAGTCCTCACAGCTATGGGTTCACTTTTACATCGGAAAAGTATAGATCAATGGCCCTCTATATTAGAAAGGTACGAAAGAGCTCCTGCCTCAGATATTCACGAAATCCTCAAAATAACTAAGGAGGAGCATGACTTGCAATTTCTTCGGGTACGCACAACATGTATTGTCTTTTCAATATTTGACTGGAGAAACCTTTTTTACTCTTTTATATATTAGTTTGTTAATGCAATTTCTTTTTCAAACAACAGAGATTAATTAGAGATGAAGATGATGAAGAAGATGAAGAAGATGAAGAAGGTGAAGATGATGAAGAAGATGAAGTAGATGAAGAAGGTGAAGATGATGAAGAAGATGAAGAAGATGTGAGCGTGAGTTGTATATATTAATGATCTAGTATTTACAATGCGACAATGAGTTGTATATATTAAGTTTTCTCACAATTGTTTTTCCATAAAATAGGGACTAAACGAAGTTGGAAGCCTTGACATGCTTGAAGCTGTCGAGTCTGAAGCTGATGACGTCGATGTAAGTATAATAAATATGTATGTATTGTTAAATATAAATGCAGATTTGTGTAAATATAAAACAGATTAAATTATCCAATTAAAACAAATCACAATTAACAATAGGTAGATTAAAGGAAAAAGAAAGTCTGGCCTGTGAACCCAAGAGAGGCATGATAACCGCTGTCCTAAAGCCGTAGACGCCTTCCTACTTGCAGGTTATGGCGGTGTCTACAACTCCAAGATACAACCCAAAGGCCTCACAGGATGTCTGGTCCATTATGCACGCCAACGGCAGACGGGTATGCCAAGTGTTGATCGATTGCCCAGGAAATAGATAAAGAGAATTGTAGGAGATGGAGAATGATGAGTGTGATTCAGATATGGAGGATGAGAGTAACAAAGAATTGTTCGTACTCTATTATGAATGAGGAGTTCTTTATTTATAAGACTCCAGACACC